TGTGTTGCCGCTGTTTCTCCATGTCGCACAGTAAACTGTCAATTGAACGTTTTATAACTAATTGAGTGCTGCCATCCAGTGAAAACTGTACAACTGCATTTCGATTCAGTTGAATCAAATGTCGCGAAAATTTCGGACTATCAAGCACCGAACGATGAACACGAAAATGATAATTCAGTAGTATCAGCAAATTCTTCAGCATCGAATTCGCGTGTATTATTAGCTACGGCATTAATTAGCGTGAAGGGTAAAAATAACGAAAAATATGCACTTCGTGCTCTGATCGATCAAGGATCGCAGAGCGCGTTCATCACCGAATCAGCAATGCAATTGCTCAAACTAAAAAGAATAAAACAAAAAACTTGTGTAAGTGGAATAACAAAAGAAAATCAGGTGTGCATTGTTGACTTGCACATTTCGCCTCGATTCACTTCAAATTTTGTTTTGAATACAACTGCAATTGTATTAAAAAGTTTGGTAAATTTATCACGAAATGAAAATGTTTTTAACAAATCATTCTCACATTTGAACAATCTTCATTTCGCTGATCCTTCATACATTGAAGCTGGTCCGATAGACATTCTTCTCGGCGCAGCTGAATACGCACAAATCATAAAACCAGGTCTCATCAAGGATTCTACAGACGAACCGATCGCCCAAAACTCTGAATTGGGTTGGATCATTTCGGGACCAACCAATTTTGATTCAGCCGTGGGAGCACAAGTAACAACGCTCATTTCAGTTGTCGACGTCGAACAACGTATATCTGAATTTTTCAAGCATGATGATATAAAAATCGACGATGACGAGTGCGCTCTCACTGAAGAAGAACAAATGTGTGAAAACCATTTTGAAGAAAACACTATTCGTTTGGAAAATGGAAGATATTGTGTCAAAACGCCATTCAAAGATGGAAAAAATGCACCAGATTTGGGAAACTCGCGAAAATGCGCCATTGCAACATTTTTGCAGCTTGAAAATCGATTCAAAAAAAAATCCTAAATTGGCAGAAGAATATAAAAAATTCATTCACGAGTACATTGACCTAGGTCATATGGAACGATCGGTTTACAATCCAAATATCACATCGTATTATTTGCCACATCATTGTGTAATACGAGATAGCACAACTACGAAACTTCGGGTAGTGTTCAATGGCTCTCAAAAAACTGACAACAGAAAATCTCTCAATGATGAACTTGCATTGGGTGCCATAGAACAAAGGGACATGTTAAGCATTCTAATCAATTTTCGCATTTACAAATATGCATTTACGGCTGACATTGAGAAAATGTACCGCCAAATTTTAATTTACGAAAGCCAAAGAGACTTGCAAAAAATCATTTGGCGTGATTCCCCTGAACTGCCACTTTCTGAATTTAGACTTATCACGGTCACATACGGCACCAGTCTCGCTCCGTTTTTATCACATCTCACTACAAGACAACTTGCAATCGATTGCGAAAATTAATATCCAGAGGTATCAAATACCATAAGAAAAAACATGTGGGTTGACGATGTGGTAAAAGGTGCTTTTACTAAGGCAGAAGCAATACAATTGTGTAGCGACTTGCGCAAGGTATTCAGCAAAGCCGGATTCAATTTACGTAAATGGTCTTCAAACAACGCAAATGTGCTGTCCGCAATTCCGGAGAGTGATCGTGAATTGAAGGCTATAAGCAGCAGGGTGAAAGCGTTGGGCATAAAGTGGTCGCCGTCTCAAGATGTTTTCACATACGAACTCAGTTTAAAAAATCATTCAAATCCATTTACAAAAAGATTGCTACTATCTGAAATCTCTTCAATGTTCGATCCACTTGGCTGGATATGTCCAGTAGTAATTTCAGCGAAAATTTTGGTACATGTTGAAGCAATCGTGTAAAGTATGATTATTATTCTGCACCGTACAGCGTTTCTTTGCCAGAGGTGGTTTATTTAGTATAAATATTATTTTATATTTACAATATTTACAATTTGATATTTTAAATGTTTCATTTTACTCTCTCCAAATTCTGCTTCTTTTAAAATATTCGGTAACTCTATGTTTGACAGTATTTGTATTTGTGTTAAAATCAATCAAATAAGTATCACAATTTGGAATCGTAGTAACATTGCATTCATTAGGTAGATTAGGCGGTTTGATAGGAACAAAATATTTATAAAATTCATTGTATGTCATCAGCATATAATTTATAGGCTCGAACTTTGAGTAATCACGATGACGCATTGGTAATGATAGAAAATTTGAGTTTCTTGTCCCATGTCGCGATGTTCTAATATTTATTTTGCTCAAAATGTGTTTCGATGATGTATGTCCACACATCACATTATGAACGAGTGATATTTGGGCTACTTTTCTTCGTTCTTCCAGCGTTATCATTTGTAATTCAAGCAGTCGGCATTCATATGGTGGTTTCCTAAATCTGTGTGGCCATTTCATTTTATGAAGTGCAAACAACAGAAATTTTTTCTGGATGGATTCAACTCGGGCAATCTTTTCAGCTGTGTATGGGTTCCATACTTATATGATGAAGAACGAAGATATTTTAATAGTATCTGGGGATTTTAATTTGTCACGATTGGATTGGTATACTGATGATGCTGAAGATGCTGACATAGCCATTCCAATAAGTGCTTCATCTGAAAAAGAAATGGTCGTTTTGGACACCTGTCATGATCTGGGCCTTATGCAAATCAACAAAAATGGCAACTTGAATGGAGCTATGCTTGATTTAGTTTGGACTAACAGCACCGATTTCGTCAATTGTTCCAAAAATGATTATCACCTACTGAACCAGGAGTCACATCACAAATCGTATGAGATAAATATTGGTAATTTTGATTGTAACCAATTTAAACCAACTTCGAATTATAGTTACCGAGATTTTGTGAATGCCGATTACGATACCATAAATGAGTCGCTGAATGACGTCGATTGGATGGAAATGTTTTCCGGTGATGATTTGGACTCGCATATCACAAAGTTCTACGAACTGATTGATTCAGTAATTTCATCGAATGTTGTGATGAAAACAAAGAAGCTTTCAAGTCACCCAAAATGGTTTAATAATGACCTTATCAATTTGAAGAATAGAGTCAATAATCAGTACAAATACATAGCATCCAGACATACCATTGAAGAAAAAAACTACGCCAAAAAAGAACACTCCAAATTGAGAAGAGAATACAAAAAGAGCGCACGTTTGGCATATAGAAACTACAAACTCGAAATGGAAAACCTTATCAATGAAGATCCACAGAAGTTTTTCGAATTCGATAATGGTTCCAAAAAGACGAATGATGATCTTCCGAATGAAATGGTTCTTGGAGATAAGAAAAGTAGTAACCGAGGTGAGATAGCAAAATCTTTCGCAACACATTTTTCCAAAGCGTACACTGAACCGGATTATACCAAAAATGAGAATTATTCTGAAGATGAACCATTGCTAAAGGATCTGTGTGCTAAATTTCCAACTATCAACATTACTGAGGAAATGGTTATGGATACGATAAATAACCTTCCAAACAACATGGTATCTGGACCTGATGGAATACCAAATATTTTTGTCAAAGAATGTACTACAGCACTGTTGAAACCAATAACACACATGCTGAAGAAATCATTAGACACTGGATTTGTACCTGAAATTTGGAAAAGTTCATTCGTTAGACCGGTGCACAAAGCCGGTGTTAAAGCTAAAGTTGAAAACTATCGTGGTGTAGCCCTGCAGTGTGTAATACCGAAGTTGCTTGATTCCATCGTTGCCAAACACCTTAATTATCACATGGAGAATATTATTGATAACAGTCAACATGGATTTGTGAAGGGAAAATCTACAACTACAAATTTGGCTGAATTTACATCGTGTGCAATTTTAGGAATGAAAAACCAAATACAAACCGATGCAATTTACTTGGATATTGCGAAGGCCTTTGACTCGGTCAACATTGATTTACTAATACGCAAATTGGATATTATGGGACTGAATCAACAATTGCTCAAGTGGATCAAATCGTATTTGCATGGTCGCCAACAGATTGTCAAATTGAATGAAACCAGGAGTCACATCACATATCGTAGTGGATTATTTTTGTCAGACGCAAAGGTAAAAGAACATGAATAACGCAGAACACATCGATTCAATATTTGAACGCAGTCTCTTTCTTTCAACCTGTCACCCGACCATTTCTTTTTCAGATGAAGCACTTATTGTTATTCGACGAGTTACATGTCGAGCCCCATTGAAGTTACATCGGGAACTGGTCAGGGTTACCCGATTGGTGCTACATTGTTTCTGTTGTTCATCATTGATTTACCAAAACACATAAGAAACTCAATACTTCAGTCGTTTGCTGATGACACTCGCCTATGGAAACACATCAGACATTATGATGATTGTCTGGAATTACAAGCTGACTTGAATAGGCTTGTTGAATACTTTAACCGGAACAAGCTAAAGCTAAATGTATCTAAGACCAAATATGTGTCTTTTCATCGTGGCCACCTGAAATTTAACTTCGAATATTCCATTGGCAACGAAAAAATCGATCGAGTTGACGTGATAAAGGATCTTGGGGTGATACTTGACCATAAATTGAATTTTAATGCACACATTGAGTATATTACAGCCAAGGCGAAATCACGTTTAGCATGGATTAAACGATTTGGATATGAATTTGATGATCCATGGACAATAAAGAAATTATTTTTCAGTAGTGTATGCTATGTGGTTTTCAGCTCACCAGTCGAAATCTATGTGATTTTCAGCTCACCGGCCGAAATCTATGTGGTTTTCAGCTCAGTCAAAAATGAGTGAGCCGAAAATCACATAGGTTTCTGTAGGTGAGCCGAAAATCACATAGGTTTTGACGGGTGAGCTGAAAACTACATAGTTCTGAGGGAAATTTCGATGATTCATCGTGTAGGGAATTCAACTTGCGCGATGATTCATGGTATAGACATGTGATGACTCATTGCGTAGGAATATTTATGTGATGACTCATTGGTTTGGGTAGTCGTTCGTATAAATATGGATGCAGATTTATGTGATGGCACCATTTTTGGATTAGCGTTAGAACTAGTCAAATCGTTGCCCAAAAAACTCGTCAACCCAGTCTTGAAATCTTGAAAAATCTGTAGTTCAGTTATTTCTTCAGTGTAGTAATTCTAAAATATTGAAATTTATTTTAGACGGCCCTTTTTATTTTCCATTCATTTTAAAAAGAAAAAATGTCTGCAGCAAGAAAATTGAATGAAATCTCCGCCAGCTCAAGCAGCTCGTTTATGAATTTTGATACGTTGGAAATTGGAAAACGTTATAAAGTGTTGGGATTTGCTGCATTCAAAAGCGAAATGTTTAATAAGGTTCGCACCTGTGTTCGCGGAGATATAGAAGAAGGTAGCCTTCTATTGCCAGAACGTTTCGACAATTCACTTCATAGAATTTTGAAGATGAATACGGACAAACTTTACATCATTTTCCAGGGTCGTGATTCGAAACGCGGAAACCGTCTAAATATTGACTTCGAGGAAGATGAAGAATAGAAAAAAGAAACCACAACATCAACAAGCGCATAAGAAAAAATATATAAAACATTCTATGCGTAAATTTTTCGTCAGTCGGTTCTTAGCTGCTTTAGATAAGAGTTAGCTGCACGCATTTTCATCAAGTTTTATAAGTGTTGTCAAAACTAAAAAGTCATTATGAGATATGGTTTAAATATGTTCTTGAGTGCGTTGAATAGAGACGCTGAAGACTACGGACTTCGCGAACCTCATTGCGTACTTTATTATGAAAAATGGCTCGAATATATTAAAGCTGATCAACTTAAGTATCCCGGTCACAACATACGTGGTTCAGATTTCTATGGGCTGATGCAAGAATTTTTTGGATTTTTCGAAAACAATAAGGAGGTTTTTGATTCTGTGGGCGCTATTGATTTAACACGTTATATGGATTTGTTTGAAACATATGGCGAAGAAGATCTCTTTGAAGGCATTGTTACAGATAAATACAATATTGGGACCTTTATAAAATTTACTGAATGCTTGATACACTCTTTCCGGCTCTCATTGATGATTTTTTTCCCAATTTACTCGTCGATTTTAAAGAAAAGGCCACACAAAAAGGCTTGTTCAGTCCATACATCTTGGTGAATGTGAAGTATTGGATGGGCTGCATGACATGGAGACAAGGATATGATGGTCACGAACTAACCACCGAAATAATTCGATTCATAAGACGAATTGCATACCGTATACCGAATGGAGGTCTTATGATTTCTTTGACCACACTCTACAAAGTTCTTGAAGACACAAACGGAGAAATATTCAAGCCCTTGTCACCATTCTCACTGAAATCAGGCATAGATTTGATGCTGGACACTTTTATGGAAGCAGAAATGGAAGTGGAATGGTCGGACATTCTTCTTGAGAAATCATGCAACCCAGAAATAAATGATTTAAGTTTGAATACATGGTTAAAAACAGCACCCAATTTACCAAATTTATCGGAAGACATGTTGCAGAAGCGTATTGAGGAAATTGAAAAATACTTCCCGAAAAATTTCATATATATGACAGGCCACGGCTATGGGGCGTTATTAGAAAAATAAGTTTATTTTTAACCTCTTTTTTTTGTATCCATTTTCATTATTAAATACAATAAAAGAAAATTTCTTCGGAATCAAATAAAAAACAATAGATTTTTTGTGTTTCTTTTTTATTTTTATTTCTTCAAAAAATCTTAATCATTTAAACATTCAAGCTTAATCGATAGAGGAAAATTTACTACTTTTTGGGCTTTGGAGGTCGTTCTGGTGGTTTTTGTACCATGTTTCGTTTGGGTAGTTCTGGTGGTTTCTGTTCTTTTGATATTGGGATTTTAGGTGGCGATGGTGATTCTCTTAATTTTTGATATTTCACATCGGAATTTTTATGCCAACTGAAAGGATTCTTAGACATGATTTTAAAACAAAATAACTGTTGTTCGCTCGAGATTCTACTCAATACTGAATTTTATTCTATCAAACTATGCTATTTTATTCTGCTAAGTTAGATTGTTAAAATTTAAATCCATTTCATTTTTACTCATTATCAAAAAACTCCATTAAATTTAAATTATTATCCGTTATTTCTCTTAATCGATGCGTAGTGGCAACGGCACATTCACACGCAGGCTGGCAGAGTATTCGATGATGTTTCTTGCAGACCGGATACTCGTCTTTGCATTGAAGATCCATGTCGAAATCCATTTTTCCAATTGGAACACAATTTAGTTCACCGCAGCTTCGGAACATATATTTTAGCGTCCTTGCCTTGAAGTCATTCTCAACGATTATGATCTTGTCCATTAAATAAGGATATGTGGCTTCAATCACCTCTAAAAGATGCACGTCACCACTTTGGAACTGTAGACCATGTAAATGTTCGATTTCCCACAATGCCATTTCACGTTCGTGCCTTGGAAGCTTATTTAAACCATATGGTGGTTTGATGATGGCATGATATTCGTAATCACCGTTAATCAAATAGAATTCCTTACAAATGAAATGATGCCGGTTGTGGAATCCTATAATGTCCACGAACGTGAAATTACTACGCTTATCATCGTGTTGATCAAATAATATATCAATATTCATCATTTCGTCATCAGAGACTTCAATGTCCATTTGCTCAGATGTATCCATCTTTGAATCTTGTCAATTAATTCACTTATTGTTCAAAAACGAAAATGAACGTGCTTCCTTGGTGGCGTTACAAATGAAACTAACCACAAAATTCGGCTCCAATTTATTTTTTGTTTCTTCGCTCTTGAGATTATTTTTGTGTGTGTATGTATGCATTTCAATTAAAATGAACAATGAGGAAATATTTACCCTGTCGCAATAGAAATTTTGTCCGTTATTTTTTTATATTCAGTTTGAACCTCAATTTCATTTAAACTGGCATCCAACACAACAACTGGAACTGTGCCGTTGTGTTTTCTAACCATAAGCCAATCTTCATGGAGCTCATGTATTCGACGAATATAATCAAGGCTTATGTCATTTTCTTCAGGTCTATTACGACATTTGATTCGATCAAAAACTTGCTCAGGAGTTGCTCGCAAGTAAACAATAAGATCCGGTTGAACATCAAAACTTTTTTGAACGTACTCCATCCACTTATGTATTATAGCATACTCTTCCCTTTTGAGGTTATTTTGTTCTTTTAAAACTTCGTTGAAACAGTTATATGCACTGAACAGTGATCGCTCCAAAATTTTCACCTTTTTTCCCGTTGTAGAACATGATTTTGGAGCATGAGTAAAAGTGTGTACATTTGAAATGGGAAACCCCATGTTTGTGTATCCCTGTAGAGCAAATCCAACAAATTGGACCCATTGAGATTTTGCCACTTTTCAATCGGCTCCACCACAATTTCAACTTGATCAAACTGTTTAAAGTAATTCAAAAGGGTACTCTTTCCAACACCAATATTTCCTTCAATCAATATTGTAAATGGTTTATTTTGGAAAGACATCGTAGGCTCCCCAGATTCTAAATGTTGAAAAGGCGAACAAATACTGAATAAAAATAAGCATAGAAACATTCTACTTATACATACATTTTGGTTGATTAGTCATGGATTATGACTCATCAACGATGACTCATCGACGATGAGTCATAAGCCCCTTTACATTTGGGTTTGCTTGTTCTTAAAAGAACCAATTTTATAGTGGCCCCAAGCTAATGTATTATATGTATTTGGAATAAGAAATCTTTTTTTATCGTGGGGATCTAGCACTTTCTTGGGATTTTTCACCGTATAAACGTTGTGTAAAAGGGATTTTATTGTAACTTGATCTTTGATTGATTCCTCTTCCTTTAATTGTCCATCAATGCAACGTTTATAATCATCAAATTTGATTTTATTATCGAGCACATTTCTTTTAACACCTTTACCTCTTTTTTCAACCCTGTTCCCTTTCAATTTCAATGAATACATTTTGCAGCGTGCGTCAGCATACTCCAAAATAATTTCTCCTTCATACTCATCCTTCATTACACCCAATACTTTTTTATTGAAGGGCTGAATGTTGTATGGGTTATTTTTTGGAAAATCACTTGTGTCAAATTGTTCTTTGTTCTCTCGTATAAAATCATATATATTTTCACAATTGACGTTGTACAAAAAGCTATCCGTGTCACTGTATTGCAAATTACACTGCTCAAAATTAAAATGTTGCAATATGAAATCATAATGGAATTCATACATTTTATACTTTGAAATGTCTAATATTGCTGCGCCAACTATTATAGGTTTCATCATATACACATTCAATCGTCTCACTTCGCACGCAACTAAATCTTCATCAAATATAACGCTTCGTTTAAAATTTGGTTTTGCAATTAATGTCTCCATGCCGTACCTTCCATCCCATTTATTGACTAATTTAATATCTACCCGATTCCGAATATTTTCCATCGTTTTACCATATACAGCATTATTCATGAGCTTGTATAGATTTTTTTCAAATTTAGTTTCGCTTTTCGCCCTTTCAACTGTGTTTAAAACGATATAGTCTTTCATCCATTTAGACTGTCTAAATGTCAACATTCTATGGACTTTTTTCAACTTAAGCCCATGCTTCAGTGCTAACTTTAACATGCGATAATGAATAATGTAATTTTTCTTATCGGAAAGAGTCAGCACCAGCCTTTTCTCCGAAGATTCACCGACCTCCATATGCTCACAGCAAAACGGATAGTCATTATGCTGATCGTGCAGATAGTGTGGATACTCTAAATCAACCTCAAGCATCGATCCATACGCGGCGTCATTCGGCGTCTCCATTATTTCGCACTCGATTTCTTCAATGCTAGAATACGTGTCCGTATTCCACATATATTCAGATATTGGAAGTGCTTCGCACATAGCCCATCCATACAGGTTATTAACGTCAAAATACATTAAATAATTTGATGGCATTTCTGGATTAAAGTCTGCGCCCATAAACTTATTATTTGCTTTGCAATAACGGTTCGAACACTGACTAATTCCTCCTCTTAGACCACGTTCAACAAACATAAGTTGATCGATGTCGGTGAGAAGTTCGATTTGCACTTGAGTGTATTTGAGCATGCAATCCCACGAATATCCGGGTAGGGTATAATAATGGGCCGGATCTAGCCCATATAGTGTTATGCAATTATTGCGAAAATTTTCGAATATATCGGCCAACAAAAGTACATCCGTTTTGAGGTAAATATCCGTATATTCTCTTAATGACTGAATATTGAATGTATTCCATACATTTTGGGCATGGGCGTATTGTTCATCAGATATTCCGCAATCGTTAAGATCATCATAAAATTGCTCAAGTGTTGGTAATTTCGTTTCATTCAGTTTATCCCACGAGTCCATATAAGTATATGGATAGACGCCTTTCATTGTTAACAAGTCCAATTCTTGCTCACTTAAGTTTGCCCATTGTCTCCGTGTAATATTCAGTTCCTTTGATGGCAACGATTTAGCAAGTTCAGCTAACGAACATTGCAAAA